GATCTTCATTGACAGCATTGACCTGCCTGCGACGTGAGTTCTTAGTTTCCTGGGAAGAAATGGGAATTCTGGAAGAGAACGCAGTATGGAGGGTACTATCATCTGCAAAGCTGTGGATGGGGCAAGTTGTTACTCCCAACAGATCATTGATATAAAGCAGGAATAATGTTGGTGCCAAAATGGATCCTTGTGGAACGCCGGAATTGATGCCAATGGTATCAGACGATACACCGTCCACCACCACGTGAAGCGATCTGCCTGAAAGAAAACTTGATAAGAGATGGCATAGCTGAGGTGGTAAGCCGTATGATGGTAGTTTGTGGAGGAGTTCTTCGTGCCAAACACGGTCGAATGCTTCCGATATGTCCAACGCGACAGCTAGAGATTCCCCGTGTTTTTCTGATGAAGCTTGCCATAAATGGGTGACGTAGGCAAGTTGATCTCCAGAAGATCTTCAACGGCGAAAGCCGTATTCTCTATCATTGATGATTCCTGAGCTCTCCAGATATTTGATAGGCTCAATATTGATGGCTTTCTCCATCACTTTGGAGAATACTGATAACAGGGCAATGGGCCTGTAGTTGTTGGGCAGGTTCTTGTTCCCTTTTTTGGGGATTGGTTGGACTCTAGCTGTCTTCCAGCATGATGGAAAAATACCTGACCTGTACGAGATGGTAAACAACTTGCAGAGAATCGGTGTTAATTCTGGTGCACATTTTTTGAGGATAATGGGTGGAATTCCATCAGGACCGTTAGCCTTATTCGTTTCGAGACCTAGCAAAATTCGCCTGATAGTGCGTTGACGGAAGACGATTTCGGGCATTCGACTCTCAACGGGTGGAATGTCTGGCGGCAGTTTTCCTTGGGAATCTAAAGTAGACTTTGCTGCGAACATCTCTGCAAAAATATTTGCTTTCTCCTGCGATGTTGTTGCTAATGTGCCGTCGGATTTGGACAGTGGTGGAAATGAACTATTAGTGAAATTTCTTCCGACCGCTTTAGCAAGGGACCAAAACGAACGGGAGCCATTGGGGCAATCTATGAGTTTCGATCTTATCTTGGCATTGTATGTTTCTTTCGAAGCATCTATTGTTTGGCTGCAGTTATTCCTGGCATCAACGTATTCTGCTCTAGTCGCGAGGTTAGGGTTTTAGCGCCAGCGATGGTAGGCTGTTTGTTTCAAGGCATCAGTTCTAGAACAGTTTCTGTTGAACCAGGGTTTCGAAGGTGATGATCTTTTCGAAAAATGAGGTATATATGTGTCCATATGAGCATGATGATCTCGGATATTTCCGCAGCACACTGTGACGGGTTCTCAGAGTCAAAGCATACTCTATGCCAAGGAAACTCGGAGAAAAACATGCGGAGACCGTCCCAATCTCCTGAATTGTAATGCCATATAAGACGTGGAGGTGCCGGTGCAGTTGATGGAATGAAAAATGGGCAGGTTGTGGAGATGAGTGTGTGGTCAGAATTGCCAAGTGGAGCTCGTACATCTATGGTGTATTACCTACCATGATATTTTGTTTTACATGTTGAGTCCAATATTATTCTGTACCATTGTTTGATAATGGCCGTAGTGCCAAAATCGGTTACTTTTTAATGAAGGTTTGATAGAAAGTGTGGTCGACCGACTATGTGTTGTTTCTTTTCCTTTTTCTTTTGAAATTACTTCGGACCACTTTGAGATATGGATGATTTTGATGATTTAGTGAGTGAATAAACTTATCTTCATCAAGTTTTGGATTTCAATGTGATCTCTTCAATATATTCTTTTGAAAAGAAAATACAAGTGTGTTTTGAGAACGTATGAATTTTTTGAAATGTGCAGAATCTACATGAAATTATCGATTAACAACTCCTTAAAACATCTAGCACACAATTACTGAGAACGAACAAAACGAACACCTCCAAGTCAATTTTCCAATTGTTTCCTGGGCAATTACCCAAAATTCTCCTTGAAAAGCAAATCGTAGTTCTAGAGGAGTGTCTGTCCGAAAGAAGGCGAATGAGCCTCTGGAGATCATTCCAAAGAATTCTATTATAGGTTCTGAATTAATGTTAATGAAAATAAAAATAAATTCGATACTTTCTCAAAACACTCGAATCTTCTCTTGATACAACAGAACCATTGTGTTGAGGAGGGACGAAAAAAGATCACACTTCAATCCAAAACACGATGAAACAAAAGGTTGGAGAATAATTCTGAATTATTGTCTATACATATTCAAAAAAACCTTCACTTCCTTGAAAAGTTTGTGAATCCTCTCAAAAATAAGATATTGACGTGAATCCAAACTCATTGTGTTGATCCAAAACATAATTGAGCTGACTTCAACCAGCTACTTTTGTCACAGATCGATAAGAAATTAAGGCGAATTTTCTGTATTATGATCAAGCCATCAGCTTATTTCAAAAATCATGATTCAGTGCTGGATTTATTTTCTTCATGAGTATTGGCTACTTCTGACTGTATACTCTTCAGAAGATTTCATACAGTTCCCTTTTCACTGTAATCAAGTACATCATTTCAAAAATATCATATGACTGTGAAACAACACTTATATGAGAATGGAATAACGCTCATGTAGGGGTCAAATGATTAGCATTTCAATATTATAAATATGAAATAATACTTTCATCAATATAATTTACTTCCAATTTAATGGGAATTGGGAGTATATGAACGAAAAATATGTTCCTAAAATTTCTAGAAGTACCACCAACCTCTTCACTTTTTTGAAAATAAAAATGATCACCCTGTAAGAAGGGTTCACGAGCTACTGCGGGCTGATATTATGTCCTCACATATCAGGTATCCGTAGACGACTAACGATTCTGATGGAACAAGTGTTCCAGTGTTATGACAAAGATGATAAATGGAGAAGGGGTAGAACTTATATGATACTTGTATAACTGTGAAATGAACTATAATCTTGGTTCCATGTCGAATCTATAAGGTGACCTTTTTGAAACAAAAAGAGTGATTTGAAAAAGTGACCTGTTTCACGTTGGGAACGTTGACTTTTCACGTTCATCAGATGACATCTAGTGGTTAAAATGTTTCATTAAGCAGTTCTAAGAAATTTCTGGATAGAAACTCGTATAACTGAATTCTTCTCGGTGTCCAGCTGGACGAGATCAACCAACTGTTTCTGCCCCACATGAAAACGAAACTGATGTGGTTCTACCAAGAGGCGGAAGACGTCGAGCAGCAGCAGCAGCCGATAGATCCCAGCAAGCCGGGCACCAGCAAACAGTTGCAGACGGCCGTCAGCAGAGCCAACTTGACGCCGCAACACGCGTCTGCGCACAAGAAGAAACTGTTCCTCACTGACGGTGTCAGCGTTCCATTTACTGGGATATGCATCTACATTTTTAGGACGAACAGTGGCAAACAGCTGCCTGAAGAAGGATTCCAGAAGGTGACTATCAACGCAAATGATTGAAACAAATGGGGGCAAACTTGCGCAATATAGTGCCCCTGAAACGCCGCTTTGGACTTTGCAAAATTCCCAATAAATCCAAAGATTTTTGGAAGAAACCGAATGTTCGCGATTCAATTCTCATTTTTTCATTGCTCTATTTGGATAGATTTAACAAAACAAGTTGAGCATTCTCATTGTTACTTTTTCTGTTCAACGAATTGGTGTTATCAGATTTTCAAATCGATGTTTCGTCTTTGCTATTATCAACTCTCTTTTGTAAATTAGGCCCTCGATTTTTATTATGGATTTCAAGAGCTCACATCCTCCTAATACCAACTGTGTATTGCTCTTATTCGAAGAAGGTAATTTTTTATGACGGAAAAAAATGTTGATTCTAGCTGACGGTTTTTTGTCAACAACACAGTCTGGAGCTGAAATCTACTACTGCTTTCCCTTGTATAATAAAAAACTATTGTTCTTGATCGTATCAGAAATCCATCCTCTGTTCCTGTCTAACACATGAGTTCTGAAGGAAAATGCCAATAATATAATTGAATCACAAATAATTTTTTTTTTCAGGAGACATAAAAAACATTTTATTCAATTAGGTGGGTATCTGGAGGCAATGCTGTTTTATATTCGTATTGTAGTTTATGGTTAGGTACTTTTGGAAGACGAAAGGTGGATATAAATCATGTAGTTTTTTGATTATTAATTTTTTAATTCGTGATACTTATGTTGTTTTCGAAATGAAGCATGATTGTTAATGTTTTTTGTAAACCTCTTTGGGTGTCCCAACGAAAACTTTCCACCCGGATTTACTGGGAAATGACAAATTATTTTCGGAAACGCTGAAACACGTCGATTTTGATTTCTAGGGGGACACATGTCAGTGATGAATTTAGTCACGCAACTTCATCCCCCTGACAGGGGCGGCTACCCCATTGCGAATCATCATAGGGAACTTGGGTCGAGTGATACATCATCTTCAAGCTCTCGTCATTCTCTATCCAAACGTCCATAATTTTTCCAAAATAGAATGAATGGTGATTGAAATTAGTGTTGTTGACAGGTTCAATGTGAATAGTCAATATCTTACCTGTTCCTATTCAAATTAAATTTATTAACTATTTTAAGACTCAATGAGTGGACAGATAGACAATAGCAACATCCCATCCGGTCAGGTAATCCAGTCACCCCACGAAAAACGAAAACAAATTAGTCAAAACAAAGTAAGTAGCCAGGTTGGGACTATTAATTGCGAAGATCTTTCAACCAAGTATCAGTTTTATGTCGCTATTCACGAATACAACATCACAAGCGGAAGATGCCCACCCCAATTGTGAGCGAAACGTCCAAAGGAACCTCCTCCACAGAGGTGAACCGACCACGGCACTGAAGCCCGGAAACCATATTTCTTAGTTTTTGTTCTGTTGACTTTTTCATAGACAAAAAATACCTGTTTTTTATGGTTCTCCTGCGTGTATGTTCTCAGCATGAATTCACAGTTCGCATGATTCTTCTGGAAATATCATTTGATTCGTATTCTGTGAGTTAAGTTTCTGCCTGACAATGGTTTACGCATTAGAAGAACGAATTGAGTTAGTGAAACTTTACTACAAAAATGATGATTGTCTAAGAGCTGCAGCTAGAATTTTCAATACAAGGCATCCAGGGAAAAATGCATCTCATACCTATGTTCAAACGTTGATTGAGAAATTCGAAAGAACTGGGTCTGTGGGAAACCAGAAACATCATCCTGAACGTCTGATAAGGAACGAGGCTGTTGAGATAGCGGTTTTGGGGCACGTGGCTATGGATCCTACTCAAAGTATTAGAAGCTTGGCTGACGCGTCAGGTGTAGCGCGATCGAGTATTCAGAGAATTCTCAAGTCACATCGATTCCATCCATACAAACTAAAACTTGTACATGAACTGAACGAAGACGATTTTGACAGACGTCAACAGTTTTGTGAGGAAATGTCTGAGCGTCTGAGAACAAATCCCAATTTGCTCTTCAATATTTGTTTTTCAGACGAGAGTACATTTTTTGTTAATGGAAACGTGAATCGTCACAATTGCCGCTACTGGAGCGATACCAATCCCAGGTTAATACGTGAGGTCCACACACAAACTCCGCAGAAGTTGAATGTTTGGTGTGGTATTTTTGGCAAAAATATTATTGGACCACTTTTTATAGATGATAATTTGAATGGACAAATGTATTTACATCTTCTTGAGAATGCCATCGATCCCATGATAACGGATATTATCGAAAACGATGGAGATTATTCGGAAGACAACCTCCATTTTCAACAAGATGGAGCACCACCTCACTATGCAGTGGCGGTTAGAAACTTTCTGGATGAACGATATACCAATCATTGGATAGGGCGACGAGGACCAATTGAGTGGCCAGCTAGATCACCGGACCTCAACCCGTTGGATTATTTTTTATGGGGGCATCTCAAAAGCAAAGTTTTTTCCACTCCGCCAGAGTCACTAGAGGAACTACGTGGTCGAATTGTAAACGAGTGCGGCAGAATAACTCCAGAAGTATTGGCAAACGTTCGTAATAGTTTCGAAAGTAGACTTTATCATTGTATGGAGGTAGGAGGGGCTCATTTCGAGCAATTAATAAATTGAATTTCGATAAGAACAGGTACGATATTGATTATTGAAATTAAACCTATTACCACACTAATCTCAATTACCAGTCATTCGATTTTGAAAAAATATAAACGTTTGGATAGAGAATGAAGAGAGCTTGAAGATGAAGTATCACTCGACCCAAGTTCCCTATGATGATTCGCAATGGGGTAGTCGCCCCTGTCAGGGGGATGAAGTTGCGTGACTAAATTCATCACTGACATGTGTCCCCCTAGAAATTAAAATCGACGTGTTTCAGCGTTTCCGAAAATAATTTGTCATTTCCCAGTAAATCCGTGTGGAAAGTTTTCGTTGGGACACCCTGTATAATCATACACTTTGATACTACCAGTATATTCTGAAGGAAATATTAGCTGGTTGAATTTTGATACCGTGAACTGGGTGTTTTTGGCCTTTGGTATCTTCAGTTTTGCCGATTCCATAGATACTGTGTTTTTCTTATACCATATAGGCCACCAACTTTTGTAATCCTGAATTTCCCGGCTTGGCCTGGATATCATTCTAACAGAGTATTTAAAACTGTTACTTGCTTTTGGAACCAAGTTATAGTACTCGTCAGGAACATACATTCTATCGTGTTTTTTCAGTATCCGTTTTATTCACTACCCGTTCATTCCGAAAACTACACAAAATCTCGATGATAACGACAGGACTCATGTTGTTTTCGAAATGACTGGAAAACAAATTGGCCCTGCACTCATGCTATGAAGCAGTAACTTGTGTTGTTTTCGCTCAGACTAATGAGTTTTGAGGTATAAATCATCATGGCGCCGAAATTTAGATTCAGCCCAGATATGGACTCATGTTGTTTCCGAAATGACCAATTCAATTTCTCTTCAAATAAGTGCGATACCTGCACTGTTTATTTGAGGAGATTAATAATAGCTCCTGAAGTTCATGATGAAGAAGCCAGGGCAGTATTGAAAAAATAACAATCAATGTTCGAAAGAACTATCCAAATAACTGAAATGAATGATTTGATTATTATTGATTCAGTTGGATATCCCTAGTTTAAGTTGAATAATTTTCGTTGCATTCACTTTTGATTATTTTTGATTCGTTATTCGTTTCTCTAAATAGTTATTGAGGGAAATTAAAAAATTTCCAGGATTTGTTTTGCGGAGTTGTGGATGCCGATAGAGTAGGAGTGGTAACAACTATAGAGAGAATCATAGAACACGTGTTCATGGAGGCCTTGGCACATCCGAGTGCAGATTGCGAAGACGATGCTGCCAACTGCCCGATGGTGAAGAACCAGCTGTTGCCAAGTTTGAGGTCGTTTTGCAGTGTATTGAAAGGTGATCAATCAATCAAAACGCTCTTTTGACCATAAATAGACGTATAAACGTTTACTATTCGACTCAATACTGAAAACATAGGGTTGACATGTCTGAGAAATGGTAATGTTGAATGATTATATTTTCTCTCCTGAAGACTGTATCGCTTGGAACAGAGTTCTCAATTGGGATTTGGTCTGCAGATTATTGATGAACACATTCTCTCGCTTGAACAAGACACCAAGTGTGATACATAGATGAAAGCAGCTCTCTAGGGAGAATCTGAAAATGCAATAAAATACAGAGTGTTCCGTTCGAAAATCAAAAGTTGTTGAGTGTTACCCTTCAAGGTTTCAACTTTGGAATATGATAATTGCAGAAAAATGGTTCCCCCGCCAAATTGAAATCGACCTGGTCGAGGAATTTTTAATTCGGAGATTTGGGGGGTGATAAATTCTAGCTGAGACACACTGTATGTGGAACCCTGTGAAAATCATACCATTCACTCGGTATATCCCTCTTGTACAGGAGTGGATCAACACACTATGCTGCTCGTCTATGTATATTAAAAAGCTACAATGATTATTTTTCAATTACTTTTATGAAGATTCCTGTTCGACTTTACTATTGAACATCACTCATTTTTATAGTTTGTGAAGAAGTGTGTGGTGAGGGAAATCTGTTTGACGATGGAAAATCGATGATGTCCGCTTTTGATGGGGATGGAATAAAAGAAATGGCAAAATATCCAGAAAAAATACCTCCTCTAGAGCAAAGGGTCAAAGGTTGGATTAAGAGGTTAGACGAAATTCTGAAGGAAAGCGAACAAATCCGGAGAGAAAACGATTCGTCAGGTTCGTTTTTCCCATACCAACAAATAATGTCTTTTTTTTTTCGAGATATGATAATATCGAAAGATTCTCATTTGGTCGATATTACAACTCTCGGAAATTGTGTAATAGTTTTTGATCCTTGTAGGACCTCAAGATGAACTGGAATACTGGAAGAAAAGGGGAGCTCAATTTTCCCAAATAGTGAATCAAGTGAATTCCAGCGAAGTCCAACTGACAATCCTCTTTCTCAAACTCGCCCATTCGAAGATTTTGAAAGAATGGAGAGACACTGATAAAAAAATAACATATTGCTACAACGAGGCTAAAGATAATGCTAAATTCATTCAGTCTTTGGAAACAAAGTGCCATTCTTTATACTTGGATGACCCAGTAAGCATTCAATGATATCTACTCTCTTATTTTTGTTGAATTTACAGTTGCTATTTCGACAATCAGATGCTGAAGTAGTTATTAGTTATTATTATTGAAAGTTATTTTGTCTCCAGGTGAAGATGAGGAGTTCTATCATGGGTCTATTACAAACTGTACGACTGATACATAGTGTATCTCAGTTTTACAATACATCTGAAAGAACATCTGCCTTGATGGTTAAGGTATAGTATGATTTCATGAATAAAATGAGAAATGAGTCATAATATCTAATATATAAAATTCTCCTGTCCGGGTCACAGTGTTAGTGGTCGAACTCCTCCGAAACGGCTCGACCGATTCGAATGAAATTTTTTGTGAGTATTCGGTAGGTATGAGAATCGGATCCAATATGGCGGACGAGTATTGTTATCCGATTTTATTCAAAATTGGTATTTGGGGGTTTTCGGGGTCGGAGATTATGATTCTTTCGTCAAATTTTGGGAGTTTAAGATGGCGGATCCAATATGGCAGGCGAGTTTTGTAATTATGGTCAGATTCCCCTCAAAATTGGTATCTGGGGGTTTTCGAGGTCGGAGAATATGATTTCTTCATCAAAATTGAAGAATTCAAAATGGCGGATCCAATATGGCGGAAGAGTTTTGTAATTATGGTCAGATTTCATTCAAAATTGGTATCTGGGGGTTTTCGAGGTCAGTGATTATGATTTTTTATCTAAATTAGGAAATTCAAAATGGCGGATCCAATATGGCGGACGAGTTTTAATGGCGGATCCAATATGGCGGACGAGTTTTGTAATTATGGTCAGATTCTATTAAAATTTTGTATCTGGGTGATATTCGGGTCGGAGATTATGATTCTCTGATCAAAATTAGGAAATTGAAGATGGCGGATCCAATATGGCGGACGAGTTTTGTAATTATGATCCGATTCTATTCAAAATCTGTATCTGGGGGTTTTCGGGGTCAGAGATTATGATTTTATTCTTTGAAATTGGGAAATTCAAGATAAATGGCGGATCCAATATGGTGGAAGAGCTTTGTAATGAATAGTAGTTTGAAAAACTATAATGAAACTCGAGGCCAAACTGAATAGAAGTAGAGAATTGATAGTATAGTTTGAAAAAACGAGATAGATTGTCGAACTAAAAAGAAGTAGAAAATAAAAATAGTTGTTTGAATTACTAATGAAACACAATTTCATTGATATCCAAACTGAAAAGAAGTTCAAAACAAGATAATAGAAGTGTGTTGATGAATATTCAACTAAAAAAATATTCTCTAGAAGGAAATGTATATAGCAAAACAACGTGTGTGCCAGGTATCAGCATCAGCTATTGTAATAATTAGTATTTAGTTTGAAATACTGATGAAACACGTTTTTATAGATAGCCAAACTAAAAAGGAGTGAGTAGTAAATGAATGAAAAAAAGAAGAGATATAGAGTGCTGAACTAAAAAGAAGTAAAGACTAAGTAGAATAGTTTGAAAAACTAAAGAATCCCGTTGTCATGGATAACCGAACTAAAAAGAAGTATAAATAAAATAATGAAAGTTCTTTGATAAAATGATTTTATGTAAAAACATTTTTTCTAGAAATTATGTTATGGCAAAACAACGTTTGCTGGGTCAGCTAGTAATATATAATATAATATATAATAACTCATTTGCCGAACGTTTATTTATGTATACACGAAAGGCTGCTATTTTTACTGACTTCTAGAAAATTGAGGAATTATATTGAAACAAATCATTCACTCACACATTGCTGAAGCAGATATTAACAATCTGGAGTATCTACGAACACAGTTATTTGGTCTTCAAGTAATAAATTACACTTCCTTGAGAATTAAAACCATAAATCAATATTGAATAACGTCTATTTTATTCTTTTAGATAACCAATCAGATGATAGAAACTTGCAGAGACTACATAACATGTCGGGGTCAAGAAAGCATATGGTCTCAAGAAAGGGCAGTAGTTAGAGACAAACTGACACAATGCATAATACTGAATAAAGTATACAGAAAGACATATTCCGTTGTGAAAAATCAACCGTTCCTGCCTAGACAACAACCATTCAATTTTTCTGAAAACTACGTTTTCGGGAAGTTCGATGCATTCTGCAGGAGGCTCATGAAAATAATATCCATGTTTGATTTGATCGATGATTATAGTGGATTGTTCCAGAGGAGAATGGAAGGACTACTTCTTGGAGATGGTAAATCATAATGAATAGATGGAGTTCTCGTATTTATAATGACACTTTTTTATATTCAGCATTAGAAGAAGCCATCCAGCAGTTCAATGAGATAAAGCAAATAGTAATGAACAAATCATACGATTATTTGAACCAGAGAAATAATGAATTCGAGAAAGACTTCAAGACTTTTATGGTCAACACCGATCTGCTGAGAGATAGTATTGCTGAGACTATTGAGACGAATTTCGACAGCGTTTGGGAGACTCCGCAAGGAATCAGATTTCTGACGCGATTCGAAAAAGTAAGTAGGTGAATAAAATACCTACCCCTATACAGGGTGTCTCGAAATAACATAAAAAGATTTCAATCACAGATTCTTGGTACATAAATAGTGAAAAAAGTATATGTAGATATGAACCCAGAAATGCCCCCCTGGGGGGTTATAGCCATCTGAAAAAGGGGCCGAGATGATGCTATCTTGTAAATATTTACGAAACCCTCTGTGTCGAGATAACGAAATTTTGTGAATGTATATGTATATAACTTTTCATGTCTAGCTGATATGGAAATTATTTACCCCAATTTTTTTTATGCAATTTTTGGCAGTTTGACCAGCAAATATGGAAATATCATAACTTCTACCTGAACATGATGATTCTAAAAATATTATGGTAGGTATTGAGGAAAAGTACTAATCGCTGTATATGTAAAACGGTGAGTGCTATGGATACTAAACAAGAAAATCATTTTTGAGTAGAAATGATATGTTCAAATTTTCTGGTCTAACTGTAAATTGCCTAGAAAATGATAAAGATATTACTTATATTATATGACTGCGAACTCTGGTTTTCAGCAAAAAGATTTTATTCATCACAATCTTCGAACCTACCATGAGTCCAGAGATCGCCCTGTGTTGCGGTGCTACTTTGATTGTCGGTGCCAGGACAACGGAAGTTATTGATAGAAAAATCAACTGTTATTGAACAGTTCGAAGATTGTGATGAATAAAATCTTTTTGCTGAAAACCAGAGTTCGCAGTCTTATAATATAATATCTTTATCAAAAAAGAAGTTGGGGAAAGAAACGCCACTTCCCACGCCCCTGATAAAAAATTTCGGAAAATTTTGAAAATTTTCAAATCAAGCACGGAAAATAATGAACATGTACAAAATGTCTTCATCTCAACACAAAGGGTTCCAAAAATATTCACAAAAAACCATCATCATCTCAGATGGCTATAACTCCCCAGGTGGCCATTCCTGGGTTCATCTTTATGTGAACTTCTTGAACTATTTTTTATTTCCTAGAATCTGTGATTGATCTCTTCATATGCATACAGGGTGTCTCTAAAAGGTCTGAACAAAATCTCAGCACATTTTCCTGAGGTGAAAATAAGCCGATTCAAGATCATTTTTGAACGTATCTCTTCAAAATTTGATTACCTGGAGCTTTTTAGGACGCGAAACCCTAATGAGGACACTTTTTCACTGTGGCCTTTAGAATGCGCTTACCAATGCACTTCTAGTGAAAATTCGCTCAAGCGAGCCGTTTTCGAGATATTTTGGTTTTGAATGTTCGATGCCGCACCGCAATTTTCAAATTATTTTGAATAAAAGATGTTTGCCGTCATTTCCGTGTATGTAATTTGGTCAGCAGTACAAAAATGGTTTTCTCAGAATACATTTTTGCAGTTTGAATCGGCTCATTTTGACTTCAGGACTATGTGCTGAGATTTTGTACAAACCTTTCAGGAATGCACTGTACAAATGATATGAATGGGTTCTTACAAGTTTAGTGACACAGTTATAAAAAATACTATGGAAATTATGTAAACATCATCATCATCAAATCACCATTTCAACTATGCTATGAACTACCTATATTTAGGTGAGTGAAAAGATTCCCCTTGCAAAAATGGATGAGAAGTACGACAGAATTTTAAAGCACTGCGAGAGAGAAGTGGATAGAATCATAAAGATGTACAAAAAACAGAAAGATGATCCTCCAGTACCAAGAATGTTTCCGCCCATAGCAGGTGATTGAATACTCAATAATTTCTAGAATTTTATAGCAAGAAAAAAGTTAAATAATTGTTGTCGAATTCTTTACTAGGAAGAGTCAAATGGGCACGATCGTTGGTATCTCATCTCGATGAATTGTTGTCGAATGTGACCACTCATCACATTTTGAAGAATCTTCCTGCTACTGTTGAGTTGTCCAGGAAACATAAGGCTGCTGAAACTATGTTGAAAGCTTTCGAAACTGATATGGTTGCACTATGGATGAATCAACACGTAAGATTTTTCATCTTTCACTTCGAAATCATTGCATCAATGATTCTTTTCTTTCTGGGAAATTATATAATGATAAATACACTCATTTCTTCCAGGTTAATGATATTAATAGATGCCTACTGAGGAACTTATTAGCAGTTTGTCCAGAGAATCAGAAACTCAAAGTAAATATACACAGCACTATTCCCCTGTTGATAAGAGAGTCAGATCTGATGGTGAAGATGGATTTACCAGTGCCAATGATAGCATTGACCTTATACGCTAAACAGGATCACTTCAGCATAGTACAGGATTCCTTGCAAGTAAGTTTAAGAAAATATCTGATATAATATAAACCACTGCTTCCTGATGAATGAATTATTGTCTTCTCCAAGTTTTTGATCTACGAATTGCTGAAAACGGTAAGAAATGTCAAGCTGGAAGTGAGACCTTTGCTGTTGCCGCATTTGATCAAGCTGACAGAGAAAATAGAGCCAGGACTCACTGAACTCAACTGGGTGTCTACGAATTGGCAAGAATTTGTCGATAAAGGCAATGAAGCAATCCAAAATTTCAAGATATTGGTAAGAATTTTTCATTATACTATATCATTCGAATTTATTCATCACTGACTGAATCGCGAGTGCGGGGCGAAATCTTATCTAGGTAAGGAAGAATCCCATCTTAATATCACCTAGTGAAACTTGGACCTGCATCCCATTCGATACTACAACTTGTGAAGTTATTTGCAAAACATCTGACTGGAAACCTCATGATTGATGATCGAATTAATGCATTTTTCCCAGCGAGCTGCTCGTGATTGAGAATGTAGTATGATTTTGCAATATCAGTTATTTTTTGATTTTGAATATCTAAACATTCCAGACGCCTGCATCTGGATTCGTTCCTAATAATGAACCTAGTAGGTGAGGAAAGATAAATTGAGAAATTTGAAAAATTAAGGAAACTACTGTTTCAACTAACTGAGGGAATCTCAGCAAATTCTCCGGAATTCATCCACCTGGAAGGGAAAATGTATATGTAATAAATAATTTCTGTTTCGACGAAATGAACTTCACACACTGCAGAAACATACATCTTTTCCGAAGCCTAATTTGACTTATCAGACCCTCTCACACAACAACGATTGGACATCTTGTTATATGATTTTTTTAATGTTCTGGTTCCCACGGAAAGGGATCTAAGTGAAAAGTTCCCCGAGGCATATAACCTCCAGAAATTCAAGAAGAACACCAATTCCTAACTTATTTCCCTTGGTTCTGACGATGTTCTCTGAACATTACAGGATAACCCTTTTCGTGGGAACCAGAACATAAAAAAAAACACACACACAAACACTCTTCCATTCATAACTCGATCACTAGAATATTCCTTACACTTTTCACTGGCTTTCAACAATATTTCACTGGCTTTCAACAATATTCCACATTGATAACACACTCTTGGAAACTAAAAACAGTCACTTTGTTACACCCAGAACCCATATATCGTATTTGTGCGGATGACTGGAGGTTGAACTTTTGAACATTGTTGCCAGACTGGGCTAATCACGGCTTTTCTCTTTTAAGATGGCTATGGAATAAGTATTAATTTTTCAGACCGACAGAGTCCATGACATATACATGAACCGAATACTGGAGGTACTCGAAAGCATGCAAACCATACAACTTCACGCATTGCCAGAAATAGGCGAAGAACCTTGGACTGCGGACTTGTTCTGCAGCAGCATAGAAACGGTGTGCCGAAACGCAGCTGCAGAGCTGCACAAGAAGAGTCTGATGGTGGAAGAAGCTGTAGAGGAAATCCTATCGTTGGTCAAGCGAGTCCAAATAGATCCAGACGGGGTATCGCAAACAGAAGACAAAGTGTTTGAAGGTTTGAACATATATTTTTCTAACGAGACAAACACTCAAAGTCGTATCCACAAGTTTATTGGCGGAATATGTGCAGTTGATTCTGGTTCATTACTTTCGATTGAGACATGTTTCAACCATTCAAATGGTCATCATCATTCATAGTACTGATAAAATTGATCCACAAAGGAAAATTGTCCTTACTAAACATCTAGCAGAAATGGTTACACTAATGAGTGGAAAATGACAATGAGTTATGCAATGCCAAAACTGATAATGTGAAGAACATATCGAAAACAAGTGGAATGCAGTTATTATAACTATGGTTAAGTGTGATATTGAATGAGAATTTCATTATCATTTTACAGTTTTCTGCCCTTCTATCAGAATATTTTTGACTTATTGATTATCACGAATACAGTTTCATTCCGTTGATTAAAATTCAACTAGGAAGGAATAAAGTTTATGGCATAACAGGGTAGGTCAATTAGTGATATCGAATTGGCCATTTTTGGTTTCTTGAAGAATTTCGATATTCTGATTCTCAAACCTAATAGTCGGATCTTGGAAATGAAAAGATAACGAATTTTCGTCAATGACGATTGTGACACATTGACATCAACAACGAACTCCTACTACTACTACTAAGTGTCACAATTAGAATCCGGTAGTTTCTGATTGTCACACCATCAGGCTATCATTGTGATCTAGACTGAAATTCGTATAATAGATGTCCTAAAGATACTAGATCCAATTGTGATGCATTGTTTGTCACAAGTTCTTGCGGATGTTCTAGGTAGATGGAATTTCAATGTTGAATTTGAGTGAGAAAATACTCATTTAATTTTTCTACGATTCTTCAGATGAAAATTATTAACATTTTTTTGGTGAATATGGATCGATAATATGAATTTATAGGGTCCTCACGATGTTCACTGAACATAACAGGATACCCCTTTTCATGGGAACCAGAACATAAAAAAAAAATTCAACACTTCTTCACAAATGGATCCCTATTTTCCTCGGTCACACCATTGAGCGTGAACGCGGATAGACCGACTTCACTATTCTTGTTGTTTTGTTTGTTTTTGTCAGAAGAATGGTTCTTATATAGGAAAGAAAACATTTCGGAATTCCAGATGGTGAATCCAATATGGCGAACGGGTTTTGTGATCATGTCCTGAATTTCCGGAAATTCATTCCACAAAATTTGAAAATTCAAGATGACAGATCCAACATGGTGGATGATCCGAACCTGTTCAAAACTGGTATCTGGGAATTTTCGGGATTGAAGAATATGATTATTCCGCCACATTTTAGAAATTCAAGATGGTAGATCCAATATTGCAAACGAGTTTAATACTTTTGTTGCTTGGAGGTTTTAGGAGTCGGAGATGATGATTATTCCCTCAGAATTGAAATATTCAAAATGGCGGATATAATATGGCGGATCCAATATGGCGGGCGACTTTTATAATTATGATTCGATTCTGTTCAAAATTGGTATCTGGAGGATTTCGCGTTCGGAGATCATGATACTTTGGTCAAATTTTAGATATTCAAAATGACAGATACAATATAGCGAACGAATTCATTTAATATGATCCGATCTTAGTGAACATTGATATCTGGGTGTTTTTTCGAGTTGATGAATTTCAATTCATTTGTCCTGATCGTGAAATTTGGGATGGCGGATCCAATATGGCGGACAATTTTCTGAATTATGATTCGATTCTATTCAAAATTGGTATCTGAGGGTTTACTGGGTCGAAAATTCTGATTCTTCCATAAAAATTGAATTTTCATGTGAGCCTATCATTGAATATGTTTTTTTTAAAATGGTCCTGTTTCCAGATGACGATCGTGATGCAGGCATATCAACGACCTCCTCTCAGCAGCAATCCGATTGGTCGTTGGTGTGGGAGTGTTTCGAGAAGCCGCACATCCTCCTCAGCGGCGGCATGGCCAGGGCAATGCGAGAGGTGGTTCGTGGCGCGTTGGCGGAAATGCGGCGGTACTACAGCAGGAAAGTGGTCGACGTGCTGGTGAGGGTGACCAGAGGTTCGTTGGAGGCATTACGCAAGCGGATCGCCATGGAATGTGAGTGGACGAAAAGCGATGATGTGATGATGAATTATCTCAAGAATTATCATGAAGATAAATCATGAAAATCATCGATACCTCAAAGTGGTCCAAAGTAATTTCGAAGAAAGCAGGAAGCCCAAAGTCGGTCGACCACACTTTATATAAAACAAACAGTTTATACATGTTACCGGTATCGGCGCAACGATCATCATCAGACATAAAAAGCACCTGTTAAATGATGAAAAAACAATACAATTGGAGATTGTAAAAAATTCTGGACATATCATATAATATAAAGCTTCAGGTAGCATTACTATGGACTATCGGAGTCGGGATCATGAGGAAATTGTTTTTGAATTTGATAAATAAGTGCCAGAAAAAAAATTGGCTCTGATAAGATTAAACATCTCATCAAGTAATGCAACAATTGTTTTTTACTGTCACTAAATTCTCATTGTTTCGTGTTTAACTGTCAAAGTCTTGGCCCATCTTTCAAATTGTCTTCAATTTTTTTATTTCCGTGTTCTGTAGCCCTCTGATCACTGAAATGGCTGCCTTCAGTATACTATTATGTAGTTTATGAAGAAAAATTCTTGCAATACTTGATAAGATGTTCAATCTCATCAGGGTCAGTTTCCTCTGGCTCTTTACCGAATATAAAAACATGTTCCTAAGGTGCCCGACTCCGATATCTCGTTGATGAATTGCTTAGCTCATAATATGTTTGTTTTGCCATAGTTATACTACCTGAAGCTTTATATCTTGGTATATCCTGAATATGTTAGTTCTCCACATTGCATTGTTAGTTCATCATGTAACAGAGGTACTTTTCATGTCTGATGATGGCCGTTGCGCCGAAACCTAATTGTTTTATATAAAGTGTAGTCAACCGACTCAGAGATACTTGTTTTCTTTGATATCATGAAGATATTTTTGGAATGGCGAATGGTCGATATATCTATACCATGTATCAGGATATAATAGTGGTGACATTATTCATCTCAGAATAATCCATCGTTATCTTTCGGAATAGTTTCATGGCAATAAGAAGTGATGTAAATCCACTGTGATTATTTTTTTACTCATGTAAAAAGTCTGTTCGAGAGCTGGTGCATTCAGATTCCATTCAGGGATAAGGTAGGTACCTATTCATCTATCTAGTGATGATAAGACAATTACCAGTTCAATCTTTGTTAGAAGTCCATATTGCTCAAAGTGAGTGAAATATTTCAGAGGAAGGAAGGAAGGAATGGAGATGACTTCGAGCATTCCTTCCTTCCTGTGGATTACCAGTTTATTGAAATCTTCAGAACATCGTCAAATCATCGATTTTGGGATTTGTCGATCAACTGTCTACTCAAACCTAATTGATTATAAAACAAGAAAAATATATGTATATGAATATTTTTTGCCAAGAAGAGAATTTCCAGAACTCATTACCTCCAAAAGTTCAAAAAACTTTCAGCACCTTTCTCATTCTCTCCCAATCTGTTCCAGTTGTTCCACATCAGATTCCAAGAATGCAACTAGATACTTGCTAGAAATGTGAACTGTCATAAGAGTATCGAAGGCATATTGAGAAACCTGAAAAAACATTGGAACAATGATGGGAATACTGAAGATCGATTTTTTCTGATGTTTTGATGTTGTTGTTAGACAAGGAAGATAGAACACCAGTTTTTGTACTCAACTCCGTGCTGCTCATACCAAAAGTTGGCATCAAACCCAACTTGGAGGAAGTTCAAGAGATCCTGATAACGGCTGGAAAAACGATCACCAGTGTTGCAAAAGGAGTGGGCCAGTGGACAGCCAATCAAACACAGGTATTTTGGGTGAAGAATGATATGAATCTCCCTGTACTGTCTTGTTAGATTTTACTCAGTTGTCAATGTCACGTCTTGAGTATGATCATGTCTAGTTTTTTAGTTGATTAAAGCCAAGTTCTTCGTTGGTAATTCGTTCATTACGTATCAATTTAATCAACTAAAAGTAACTCAGAATGCCTCAAGAAAATAGCCTACCCGTTGCGGGTTCATCGATGTCAAAATATCTACGACCCGATAAGTTTGATGTGGAACCTAATGATTCCGATGCGGACTCTAAATGGATCTATTGGAAATCCACGTTCGAGAATTTTCTAGCTGAAGAAGCTCCTAAAGATACATCCGACTCTCTGAAGTTGAAACTACTAGTGAGTCACCTCTCAGCCACACTATTCAAACACATCAAATTCTGCAAGACTTTTGATGAAGCTCTAAATGTACTAGAAGGTATCTATATAAAACCAAAAAACACAATACTGGCTCGTTACGTGTTGTCGAATCGAAAACAACGATCAGATGAATCCATTTCTGACTACGCGAGAGCGTTGCGGCTATCGGCACAAGACTGTCGCTTCATGGCGGTGACTGCTAAAGAACATGAGGACCAAGCAATCCGTAGTGCCCTGATTTCAGGCCTTCAATCGAAGAAAATAAGAGAACGTCTTCTGGAGAACTCACAACTTACTCTAGACGAAACACTTAACCAAGCTATAGCTCTTGAAACAGCCGAAAAAGATTCCCGTGAAATGAGCAGCAGCTGCCCGCTACTCAATGCCGTACCTGATCGTTCATCGAAGGATGTGCCGATGTCAGCGGATTTAGCTGCGACTTCTCCACAAATGACACGGAACGCACCCTTGTCGTCACAGTCGACAAGAAGATGCTTCTTTTGCGGTGGAAATGTTCATCAAAGAATCAAATGTCCTGCCAAGAATGCTATTTGTCAATTGTGTTCGAAGAAAGGTCACTTTGCGAGTGTATGCAGATCTGGAAATGCTACCAGCAATGCTATACCTGCCGAGAATACGACAGATATTTACTCTCATGCCACTGGACAGTCATGTGCTGGCGCCATTTCCGCAGCCTCTCCATCGAGCCTAAGGAGTGCGACTATTCCAATCAGGGTGAACGAATATAAAGTTGACGCACTCATAGACACCGGCAGCTCTGTCAGCTTCATCGACAGAAAGATTGTTCGTCTGATGAAGCTACAACAAAAACCCTGTAGACAAACTGTGAATCTTGCATCCCTCAATCATGTCTCTTTTGTTAAAGGGTTATGCTTTGCAACAATCACTATGAATCAGCATACGTATAAACAACGCCCTCTTCTCATCGTAGATGATCTTTGTGCTGATGTTATCGTGGGTCATGATTTACTGAAGGACCACTCAAGTCTTCAATTCAAATTTGGTGGTCCGAAAAAGCCCTTGGAAATATGCAGTGTGACGGAAGCTACAGTCCCGCCAGCATCAATTTTCACTAATCTCTCACCTGACATCAAACCGATCGCTGTCAAGAGCAGACGCTATAGTAATGATGATGAAAACTTCATTGCTATAGAGATATCAAAATTACTAGAAGACAAAGTGATCGAACCCAGCGTCTCACCTTGGCGAGCACAAGTCCTAGTGGCTGGTAGCGGTTCTCACCGAAAACGTCTAGTGATAGATTACTCCATGACGATTAATAAATTCACTGAATTAGATGCGTATCCTTTGCCGCATATCGAGACCATCGTGAACAATGTGTCGAAATTCAAATTGTTCAGCCAAATCGACCTCAAATCGGCTTATCACCAAGTACCTATTCTCGAACAAGAAAAGAAATATACGGCTTTTGAAGCTTGCGGTAAACTCTATCAATTTACGAGGATACCCTTCGGTGTTACCAACGGGGTAGCAGCATTTCAACGAACTCTAGAATTCGTTATATCGAAAGAAAAACTACAAGGTACCTATGCATATCTGGATGACGTTACGGTTTGCGGCAGGAACGAAATAGAACATGACTGTAACCTTAAAGCATTTCTAGCTGCAGCAGAAAAATACAATCTAACTCTCAACGAACAAAAGTGCACTTTCAAAAAGGACAAGATCAACCTTCTTGGGTATACAATAGAAAACAATACCATTAAGCCCGATAGTCAGAGGTTGAAATCTTTGCAAGAACTTCCAGCTCCAAGTAACACAGGCGAACTGAAACGAGCTTTAGGGTTGTTTGCTCATTATGCAAAATGGGTGGAGAGATTCTCGGATAAGATAAAACCACTTACTTGCAATACTACATTTCCATTGTCGACCAACGCCCTGAAATGTTTTGAAGAACTAAAATCTGATATAAAAAGAGCCACTCTCATAGCAATTGATGATGATGAAATACTTACAGTTGAGACTGACGCTTCTGAAGTAGCAATATCAGCTATACTATCTCAGCATGGTCGTCCCGTAGCTTTTTTTTCTCGTACGCTATCGGGCTCAGAACAGAAACAATCATCGATAGAAAAAGAGGCTTGTGCCATTGTAGACAGCTTGAAGAAATGGAGACACTTCTTAATAGGAAAGCATTTCCTCCTAATAACCGATCAACAGTCAGTAGCGTACATGCTGAACCAAAATCATAATAGTAAAATCAAAAATGAGAAGATATTGCGCTGGCGATTGGAACTATCATGCTACAAATACGACATAATGTACCGACCAGGCCAAGAAAACACTGCGGCTGACGCCTTATCTCGAGTTTGCAGCTACATGAATACGAACAAGCTTAGTGAACTTCACAATGCACTTTGTCATCCAGGCGTCACCAGGATGTTTCACTGGATACGATCCAAAAATCTACCCTACTCAGCTAACGACGTTAAGGAAATGACGGCTTCATGTCGAATATGCGCTGAAATAAAGCCACGGTTCATGAAAATCAAGGGTCACCTGATAAAAGCCACTTCGCCTTTCGAACGAATAAATATAGATTTCAAAGGACCCCTACCATCCAATACAGGGAAGAGATTTATATTAACAATTATTGATGAGTACTCCAGGTTCCCGTTTGCGTACGCCTGTAAGGATATGACTTCGACCACCGTCATAAATTGCCTGAAAGATCTTTTTCTCACTTTTGGGCAACCGTTATATATACATAGTGATAGAGGTTCTTCCTTCATGTCTGAAGAGTTCAGAACCTTCTTGAAGAACTCGAACATAGCTTCTTCTAGGACGACTCCCTACAACCCACAAGGAAATGGACAAGTGGAGCGTCTT